GTCTTTCATGTTACCAAAATGTCTGTCATGTTATTTGACCTAAAAAATGTATTTCTCTCTTAAATCCATCATTTATCTTGTGCAAATTAATGATAATATTGTCATTGGCAATATTAAATATAATTGAACCTAAAATACTTCTGACATTGCACTTTAAGTTCCACCAAACATATTTGACAAGTATGCAAATTTAAAAAAAATATGATTCAGAAGGGGAAAGTTGTTATTTTATAAAATAACTGAATTTCTGTCAACATTTATATATTTAATTGGCTTTAGCTGTGATACAATAATAATAAAAAAGGGAATTTGATTTATATAATTTTTTTTTGTATATTTAAATGTATTTTAAAAACTGGTAACACCACAGACATTTTGGTAGAATATGACATAATGTTTTAAAAATATTTAGAAAAAAACGTAATTATTTTGAATTACAGAAATTTGTTTTAGTTACTCCAATGTTGGATCTAATAGTTTGGTTAATAAAAATGTATTTTTAAACAAGTTGTTTTTTATTTTTTATCAAAATGAAAATCGGTCAATTTCTGATAATGACTCATATACTGCTTTCAGGAGGGGAACCAGAAATTAATTTTGGGTGTTGCCCAAAATTTTAAACTTAGAAAAGGACAGATTTTTGCACTTATCTAGAACTAATAAATTAGAATTCCCGTGTAGGTTGTACATGATACTACTTTCTGGCACCAAAAAATCTATAACATAGAACTTGATTATTTCTGAGATTGTGACATTTACATTTTCCCTGCCGAGCGGAGCGATGCGATTTTTTCTTCTGAAGATGTAATACTAAATTATTTCAAGCACTGCCGAGCAAAGAAAGCAAGAATTTAATGGACATTATTTCCTTTGTCAAACAGATCAAATGAGGCGTAGAATAGTTTTCTGGGTTTGCGGTATTATTCCAGGTTACATTTTATAACGTAGAGTATTTATATTTTATGATGGCCGAGCGGAGCGAGTGTTAACAAACTCTTTAAAAAAAGCGTTAAAATGTAGGTTTTTGGTTAAAACAATCTAATTTATTTTGTCATAAATATGAATTAAGATTTATTTGTTTGTCTTTTATTGTGAAATAGTATGCATACGTATGTACAAGGGCAACTCCTAATAAAAAGGATGTACAGGCCAGGCTTTGATGCCAACATTGGTTATTATTCACCTGATAAAGTGATGCTAAGGAGGGTTTGAAATTTTTGAAATTTGTATTTTTTAATTGGTATAATAAATCACTCCAGGTGAACATGTGTACATGAAACCACAGGTGAAAATACAGGTTTATCTATCATGAAATGGACTCTACCTTACAAATAACACTTTATACCTATATACCTAATTCCAACAGATGGTAAGTTATAGTTCTCTCTCAACGGACATGGTGATCACCACACCGTGACATTGGAACAATAAGATTAGGTAGAGTCAGTCCGGTGAGCCTTGACCACTGACCTGACTGGACCCCCTACTAATATATAGACAATAAAGGACTAATCCCCTATTGTTTAAAGTATAAGTACTGGACTCCTTGTTTGGGCAACACCCTTAGGCATATATAGATATTCAAACTGCTGACAAGGGGAAGACTGGAAAATCATAGTTCAAGGGATGGTTGATATTAGAAGGAAATCCCATATGAAACAGAGGAAAATCTTTAAAAACCTACATCCAGATTATTTTTGGACACAGAAAAAGGGTGTTGCCCGGGCAACTAGGGCAACACCCCTGGGTCCACCACTGGCTTTATCACAACCTAGTCTGTAGGTTGTCTCAAAGCAGTTCACAAATTATTATCCGTTGTTATAGGGTCTTTGCGACTAGCCAATATCTTTCTCAACCCCCTTGGGAGCATACAGCCAGTGCTGCCATTTCGGCGCTCACAGCTAGCATTCTACAATTCTAGAACTGCCCAACCACATACTCATTTACAGCTGAGTAGACTGGAACAAGCGGATAAAGTATCTTGCTCAAAGATACAACACAATGAACACAGTGCCGTGACTCGAACCTGCAACCAGGCATGGGGTAATGGTAATGTGTAATGGTAATTAATTGCAATTAATTACATTTTGTTAAGTATTTGGATGTAATGTGTAATTGAGGATTTTTTCAATTACATGTAATGGTAATTTAATTAATTACATTGAAAAATGTATGTAATGCCCAATCACTTTTAATTACTTTAATGTTGAGTGTTGATGTTTCATGTATCCTTTATACAATTTAATCAAATAGAAAGTTTCCAAAGTAAATATTCATTATGTAAGGACCCAGGTAATAAGTAGAGGTTATACCAGTATTGATCCTAATCCCCTATTCCTAGCTAATAGCTATTGTCCTCCTTCCCAGAGACCAGGTAACTTGTGATTTTAATAACAAAAGATTGCTACACAGTGAGTACATGTATCATTACAGGGTTGACCATTCAGAACATTCTATCTTTGTAAGGGTGAACTTATAGTGAACAGTACTACTTACACTGAAAAACACCTTCACTTGAAAACTTGAACAACCACATTTGAGCCATTTTTAAATCCCCAAACACACAACAGCAGGGTATTTTAAGGCAAGATGGATTTCTTCAGTTTTCTGCGAGCAACCCCAAGGAACAGACACCAATCTGGGTTGGCACCAAAGGAAGTAGAGAAATATCTTGAAAACTTTTGTATTGATATGGAGGATGACCCTTTGTCATTTTGGCAAACAAACTCTGTCCAATACCCTGTTCTGTCAAAACTTGCTATCAAGTATTTGACTATCCAATCATCTTTAGCTTCAGTCGAGAGACTATTCAGTTTAGCCGGGATGATGGATTCCGCCCAGACAGATGCCGTCTAAATGACGAAACTTTTGAACATCTGATGATGTTAAAATGCAATATGCATGTTTACATATGCAGTGTAAGCTGTCTGAGCAGAACATCTTCCCAGAGTTCAGTACATGTACATACCATGCGGGTGTATACATACATTTTGTATATATTTAGTGATGTAAATTCCCTGTATGAAACACAAACAACAGGTTCATAACAGATAAATTTAAATATGTCATTTAAACTTGTATTTTTATTGGCTTGGATTAAAAATAATATACCCAGATTATAGATCAACAGTACATTCCCAACTCACTCAACTGATAACCTGGAGGTTAACATGCATTTTAGCAACAAAATAAAGCTTTCCAGTAACATTTTTATAAAACTGTCTATGAAATTCATTAACAACGTTGAGTCCTGTGCATAAGGTTTAGCAAAAAAAAATCAGTTACAGTCTTTTAAAATCATTGGAGTAAAATTATAATCTCAAATGAACACAATGCACTTCCCCTACAAAAAGTGTGTCATATATGAGAAATTCTTACACTTATTGAACTGATCTTCGAATATTAGGTGTAGAATTGTTCAATTGTTAAAAGATTTGGTCAATACCCAGTAAAACTATCCCTACCATCATTACGATCAATACGTCGGGTTTTCTGTTCCTACCAAATAATTCTGTGGAGTAACATCATATAGCCCTAGTAAGTTTATTCCCTAAGAAATTGCTTTCATTTATTTTTCATAGTCCATGGCCTTTCATGTAGTCTCTGCCTGTCTAGAGATGACATGGCTTTTTTGGATGGCATTAAATGTTCCGACAGCCCTGCACGCTTCTTCCGTTTGGCGCCTGCCATATAACTGTCATCATCAGCAGCATCTAGAGGTGGTAGTGGATCTCCATACCCAGTGTTAGGATTGAGATAAACTGACCGACCTGCACCACTAAATCCTGAACTGACATCAGCCTCAGTTGGAGGTTTTTCCTCATCCTGTTTTACAGAATTCCCAACTATGTCTGATCCACGATCATGCGAAAATTTACAATTTTTTCCAAACTTACATTTTCCTCTCTGAAATTTGAAACATACATTCTTCTTGGCTTGTTTTCTGGCCTCAGTCATTTTCACATGCTGTTCTAAGATAGAGTTTTTAGCTTTTTCAGCTAATTCATATTTATTGCTGAATACTGACTGGCTATCTTTTAGATCTCCAAGGTCTGGTATCGGTAGGTTATCTGCCAAAGGATTTGGGAGTTTGTATTGATTATCTCCCTTTGATCCTGTTTCTTGTCCTTTTGACTGGTGGTCTCCCTCATCACTACTGGTGCTGTCACTGTCGCCTCCTTGGAAATAATTCACACTCTTTCTGGGTTCTGTAGGCAATGTAACAGGTGATGCACTTGAATGATTGGATCTGAAATAAAGCCAATAAAGTCAGTTGTATATACATCCAACATACATTTACACCACTAGTAGTATTTTTGAATTGCAATAACATGTACATGCTAGCATATCATTCGTCATTGTAACAACATCTGTCTATACTTCAATCAATTTAGACCGTGCTTTACTAGAAAGACATGCTAATACAAGGCAAAATACATTACATGTGATTTAAGAATTGATATGAATGGAGGTCAAAATCAAAACAATCCACATTTTGGCCTCAAAGATGTAATGCCTGTGTTTAAATTATAAACTTGATTTTAAACAAGAAAACAAAGTTGTGTTGAATTTGACTAAAGATTCAAGCTTACCATTATGTTGAATTTGACTAAAGATTCAAGCTTACCATTGTGTTGAATTTGACTGAAGATTCAAGCTTAACAGAAGAGTCGAGAACTGTCCAGAAAAATTGTCAATATTTTTCCAGATATTTTTCATCGTCACTGCTATATTTTATCAAAGCTACACGTTATGAGGGATATTTGAATACATGCATATGGCATGCCATTAAGAAATGACCTTTTGCTATTCAGCTATCAGTAAAATGACCATTTGTACAAGTTACCTACATAAACTAGACACTGCAACCAGAGTGGTATACAATGCCAACAGCAACTTCTAGTCATGTAACTGTGATCTGAACAAGTTTAACAGGCCCTGAAACTTTATGCATGTATACCTTATGAACACTGAATCCTTGACACATGGAATATAGACTATAAGTCCTTAGTGAAGTTCTCTCCATTTCAAAACAAGCACACTCGAATGACTAACACAATAACGGTGACTATCCAGGGAAATATTAAGATGTAGTCATTACCTGTACATGCTACAGTTTAACACTATACAATGAACTAGGAACACAATAACATTTTATTGTATAGTTTTGTTGTAATATTGAAATTTCAGATCAGAGAAGATCAATTTCAATAAGAGTCAGTGGGCATGTATAAAAAATTACATAATCTTGACTGACATTAAAAACAAGAGATCCTAGAAGGATATTGGCGCCCACCATGAAAGGATCTTGATCAGATCAACAAAAGCTGATCTTTCAACTTCTTAACTCTTCATTTTCCTTACAGATAATATAACCCGGTCCCATGTTGGAAATCCTACAAGGGATTCTTGTACATTAATTTCACCCTTGTAATGTTTTATGTCATCTGTCAATCTTTTATGCTATTCTGTATAGTTGTTGAACAAGTGTGGCATGGCAAGTCTATTATATTTTGTGTGCCATGCATACATTTCTTGTTTACTGGATATAACAAGGTATTTACATTAATGCTTAATGGCCATCAAGGAAAGTTTTGGTGTTGTTTATTGTACTGACAGCCTAACAAATGATTTGCCTCAGGTGGGGCATAGGTAGATCAGAGTAATCAATATAATGTGGCAAAGGCAATTACAATCGTTACATATACAGGTATGTTTAGGATCTCATGTTGTATATATATATATTTTTTCATTTTTTTCTCTGTAAATATTTAAAGGACAGCTAGTCATTTGGCACAGGGTTTTTTAAAAACTGGTGATAAAGGATAAGGATACTCAGTCAGATAGAAGAATTATAAACACAAAACACTACTCTGAGTTATCTCCCTTGTGTTATCAACCAACCCTTCACTATTTTTGACAACTACATGTGAGATATGCTACTGTACAGCAATTGCTGTACCCATTTTAATATTGTAGGATTATTGAGTAAGATTCTTTAATGTAACCTAGAGGTCATAAGAACAATCAGAAATAGATACCTAGTATCTATATTGAGCACAGAAACAACACATTTTTAAGAGAGATACAGTGGATATACTTCATTTAAAAGTGTCCTCATGTTGTTAACAGATTGTTATATTATAGACTTGTCTTAATTTTGTGTTGATATCTTGATCAACATCACCAGCATTAAATTATGGATTTATATAATCTATATAATCTAATATCTATATAATCTATATAATCTATCTATATAATCAACAGCAGTGTTTTGAGTGGGGCTAAACTACTGGACTTCAGATTGATATACTATCACTCTAACTGATTGAGCTACCTGGTCAACTGAAGTGTCCTTGTCCAACTGTTCTAAAGTTATATCCAAATTAATTAAATTTTATGGGACAGTTACTGTATATAGGATAAACCAGTACAGTGGAACAGGGACCCTAAGTTTTATGTCTCTGTCAATCATAAGTAGCACGCTGTGGCCTTTACCATGACTGACATCCATCTCGGGTTTTGGGATCCTGATAATGTCATGATATTAAAATAGAAAAATCTGTCAAATACCATTTACTACTATGAAGAATGGTGGGTTAGAAATGGGAAAACAGTATCTTTTTGACTTTTGTTTATAGACTTTTGAATTCTGAAATTATCTCTAAAAATAAGAGTGGGATCAGATGGATGGACAGTTAGAAAAAACAGTCACCTTGACTACTACTACAGGTCACCCGCACCACCGATACCGGGCCCCCCATCACCGATACCGGGCCCCAGCATCACCGATACTGGGCTCTAATTAACCAAAAGAAGAAGAATTACAAAGCCCTAAATACTGACCTAGAGGATTTCAGAGTCACCAGTGAAACTCCAATGACCTAGATTTTGACCATATATTTCATAAGTAAGAATTAAGAGTATGACCTAGATTTTGACCTTCTGATCTTACAAAGAGGAACAAGAATTTGAGATACCTTGATTCAGATCAGCTTATCTTTATGAGATGAACTAGAATTCTAATGTTTAAATGAGTTAGTGATCATCCTATATACTGAACTTTAAAGCTTGAAATGTACTGATTTTGGCTCCAGCATCATAATATATAGGGCTTCAGCAAAATGTTACATTATGTGTATACAGAATGTACATGGAGTGTTAGCAGGCTGTCAGAAATGATGATACATGTATATGGTATATTGATTAAGGGTTTACCTGAGCTTTGCACCTGAAGTCATCACTGAATCAGAAGTACAATCTGTATGTAACAGAATTCATTATTTTGTCAATGCCTCTGCTAGGAGTCAAACCCGGGACCCCTATAGTTTACTAGTTTTAAGCTCTAAAGCCGAATGAGCTACAGAGGAATTCTCCAGTTTGTAGATTTAACTTGAGGCTTATATATATATATAGCTAATTAATGTTTTCCTTTGTAATCACATGTACCTAGTATAATATAAACATGAGAGCAGTCAAGTGGTGTATTTTATAACTTTGAACTAAAATTTGATTTAACTCATTTATTTAAAATTGGCAGATGAAAAAGAAAATATTTTTCCACTGAGACCCCCCCCCCCCCCCCCCCCATTCTTTACACAAAATAAAGCCATCCTGTTAGCAACATGATTGTCAATATGTGAGTCTCTTAAAAGTCCATGTTAAAACATCTTAACCTGTCTGATAAGAACATATCTATGTGTCTGAAGTTCATGTTGAATTAGCACCTGTTAAATAGGAGCATGCATGGTTGGCATCACAGCGGTTAATGCTGAAGGTTAAAATGTGTGTTATATATGTTAAACAATTATGGTCAGTCAGAGAATATAAATGTTTGTTAAATGTTACCTGAAGGAGATGGCCTAACATAAGATTTTATATCTTGTTGCCAGATCCTTTCAATTGATGTGATTATATTGTATTGTAAATGAATTTAAGTAATAAATATTGTTTAAACCAATACTGAAGGGGCAGCTATTTAAAAGGTGCTTGAAGGGGCACCTGTTAAATAGGAGCCTGGCTGTATGTCTCAGCAGTTAATGTTGAAGGGGCATCTGTTTAATAGGAGCCTGGCTGTGTGTCTCAGCAGTTAATGTTGAAGGAGCGGCACCTGTTTAATAGGAGCCTGGCTGTGTGTCTCAGCTGTTAATGTTGAAGGGGCGGCACCTGTTTAATATGAGAATGCTAGTGTGTCTTTGCAATGCAGTTCATGGTGAAAGGGCACCTGTTTAATAGGAATCTGTCTCTTTATCTTACTAAGTTATATAATTAGCTATTAATGCTGAAGGGGCACCTGTTATATTTAATATGAGCATGTTTGTGTCTCAGCTGTTAATGCTGAAGGGGCACCTGTTTAATATGAGCATGTTTGTGTCTCAGCTGTTAATGCTTAAGGGGGAACTGTTTAATATGAGCATGTTTGTGTGTCTCAGCTGTTAATGCTGAAGGGGCACCTGTTTAATATGAGCATGTTTGTGTCTCAGCTGTTAATGCTGAAGGGGCACCTGTTTAATATGAGCATGTTTGTGTCTCAGCTGTTAATGCTGAAGGGGCACCTGTTTAATATGAGCATGTTTGTGTCTCAGCTGTTAATGCTGAAGGGGCACCTGTTTAATATGAGCATGTTTGTGTCTCAGCTGTTAATGCTGAAGGGGCACCTGTTTAATATGAGCATGTTTGTGTCTCAGCTGTTAATGCTGAAGGGGCACCTGTTTAATATGAGCATGTTTGTGTCTCAGCAGTTAATGCTGAAGGGGCACCTGTTTAATAAGAACATGTCGGTGTCTTTGATTTCAATGTTGAAGTGGAACCTTTATAACAGGAACATATATGTTTCTTTACTGTTGAATGGCATTAGCCTTAGATGTTTATGTGAATATTGCATTTATCTAATGGGAGCATGTTGAAAGGACATCAATGCAAAATATCTTCTTCGTTTTGGGTCGCATCTGGGATGATTGTTGGTATAATGTGTCAAATATGATCCTCAGGTGATCTTACAAAAGAATAGCAATACTTAAAAAAAGAAAAACAATGTCTATCTTTGATGAAAACAGAAACCTACATTTTTTTTATAAACAGCAGGACACTATGGCAGTTTGCCATAGAGCTTTGATCATGTGATGAATGAACAAGATTCTATGACTCAATAAGTTTACTAATGCTTATTTAATCTTAATACAAAGATCCATTTTGAACTCCATAAACCAAAGAACACAATTAAAAGATGCTGGACAAAATACAGTAAGTATTGACAACAACAAAACTAGTCCTTAATGAATATATTGTGATGGAAAAATAGCAAAGTAACCAAAACCAACTATATATTTTACAATAATTATGAAACAAGTCTTGTCAACATGCAAATGTCAGCGAACATAGGTTTAATCATCTGTTATTATCATAACCATTGCAACCGGTTTATTTTTACAGCTGATGTACCCCTATTATCGTAAATTTGAATAAAACACTTGTAGTAGGACGAGGAATAGTGATAAAGATAGTGCCATCGCTGGGCCTCGAACCCGCGACTCTCGACTCTTCAGCCCGATGCTCCACCGCTAAGCTAAAGGGAAATTCCCTACAGCTGACACTTGTAAGGCAACCTAATTAATCCACATCTTTTACACACTATCATTTTACTGGACATTACATATAGAAGACCCACCTTGTCCACAAATACTGTTAAAAAACAGCCATTATTTTTAAATTTTGTCATTTTTTTTACTTAGCGATGCTTTTCATTCCTGGAGACTTTTTTTTAAAAGATGGTCAGGTGTTTTGTTATCTTGGACTTTTATAGACGTCAAGTTACTAAGATATTTAGTACATACTTATTAACAACGTGCATTTAGGAAAACTATGCAGCAAAGGTGCATCATTAAACGCATGTTTATATTATGCATTAAATGCATGCTTCACCAGATTCTGATGTTGCTGCAAACTCCTAAACTGGATAGGGCCCATTAGATATATATGCGATCTATCAACAACGTTACAATACAATACTGTGAATACACAAGCACATTATTGCTGATCTAAATTACTAATTAAACATGAATCGACTAGCAAAATATAAGGAAATCTATTTTAGTCATCTTATTGTATTATTCTATGGGAGCTTCTAAAACGTACGAGATTCTGTCATCTTCTATAACAGCAGAATCGATGTCCGAATCTTCACCACTATCTCCGTAGTCTGCTACGAGGGTAGCCATTCTACTTCCTGTATTTTCAAGTTCGCGGGTAAGAAATCTGTTTTTTTGATTGGTCGATATTACCGGCGAAGTTGCCGAGCGATAGACGTCATTGCATATCAATGAATGCAGGAATATTTACGATGAAAAAAACAATGACAACACTATTCGCCACCAAATAATCACTTTAAGCTTCGGTTTGTTAACTGTTTATGTTAATTTTACATTTTATTTTATACATTATTCCGATCATTCCCCGATCAGCTGACGGATGTAGACGGCGATACCTTCGCATATTAAACACGAAAGGGACCTGTCGGAATCGAGAATAAATTCTGCGATTGAAACCGGTTTTTGAGGTAAGATTTGATGAAATATGCATACGATATGTATTTCAATAACACAAGTTTGACATAAAATTAAAATTCTGTGCATATGTATTGACTGATGGTGAACACGTGACATTATGTCGCACCCACAAATTTAGCATAATTATTTAACCCTTACGACTCTGTCTGTCTGCTCACTTTTTGACAGGAGCTGGATCGGGATGTCGGGGAAAGTGAGACACAGAACGTCAGCGAATGCGGCAGACTCCGCCACTCAATCGGTGAACGAAAAGATCTTGAAAGAATGTCATTCTCTCTACATCGATCCCGAAAACGGTAAGTATTTTTGTTTTATATGTCAAAAGTTATTTCTTTTTCTTCTTCGGCAGTTTCATCTACCGGCCATTACCCAGTACACGACTTCGCAATAAACTTGCATGGCAGGCTAGGGTTAGGCTATTCTTTGGGGAAAAAATGTGTGACGTGTATAAGGATATATTTTTAACTATTCTGAAACTTTCACCTTTATTTATGAATCATATACAAACGTATTCAGTATTTTCAGACGGGAAGGTCATATAAATCATTTGTCCTATTTCGTAGCTAACACTGCGGCTCAAAAATATTTGCCCTGACCCGGCGGAGCTGAGCTAAATATAATCCAGTCTGCCGACTATTGAATAGTTCTCTCAGCTGATCAAAGGTCACTACTTTCACTGAACCGGAGCGTGATTTCAGGATTTTTCCTTATACAAGTTTCTTCATTGAAAACATTCCTATTGGAGTTACACGCGCAGTGGAAAAAATCCAGATGATTCTGTAGGTTTTAACACTGGTGGTTTTTCCACACCGCATCATCTATGTTAATTTTGTCCTGTCTGCAGTCTACTGTAGGTGAATCATCCTGAGTACTTGGGGACCTCAGTAGTGCTCTAGGAATTTTTATGGGAAGAAGTATGCAAGACATATCATATGTCGATAGTTTAATTCATGTCTTTTGTACAATATTATATCTGCTTGGTTGTGCTGGGGAAATTTACATGGCAACCCTCATGTCTACTATGAAAATTTATTCACAGGCCTAGACATTTAACTTTTCCTGCATGACTTTTTCAATTAAATCAATTTTATTACCTCAATTAATTTTTAGTTTTAGTGATTTAGTTTATTAAAGATATCTGTTTCCTTTCTTTCTTGTATCAAATTTCTATTTAATTAACACCACTTTACGAACTAAGGTCTGAGCATGCCATATATGTATGTAAATGAGCAGGAAATGAGTGTAAGTCAAGCTTATTATAGTTTTGACTCAGGTTTAAGTGTTAATGGTTAACTTTGTGATTTTTTTTCTCTCTGATAAAACTTAATTTCATTGTCTGTAATTACATAACTCATTATTTCTTTAAATTTTGCTCATGTCCCATCATGATCATATAGTTTCATTTTCATATTTTTCTTGCAGGATGTTATGGCAAACTGTGAGAGCAGTACAATTAATTATATAAATTTATTTTGTATATATATATATATATATATAAAGCAACATTATGTACATGTTTGAAATCTTTGAAGCATTGCAGCAAAATGATGATGAGTTTTTATCATAATCAATTCAGGACCAGACAATTCAACTCTGGCAAGCACCTGTCTGCAAACTTACACCATATATTATGGAGCCAAGTCAAGGATCTGCTTTTATTTAAAAATTATCTTACAGATTAGATTCTTGCTAATCCAACAGAAACAGGATAAACAGATGTCGACTGGAAAAACCCTTTATGTATTACTGCGTAAAAGGAGGGAAAAAAGATATTATCATGCATGGTCACCTCATCAGAGCTATCTAATTAAATATTTGTTTTTCAAAAGCTATTCATATGCTTTTATTATTATATTAAATTTGGAAAAATTGTTGCAAATTCTGATTTTTGATTGGTATTGTTATACTTTTACTCTTTTTAAAAAAAAATCATAAGTGGGTTTATGGAAAATACATCTTACTAAAGGTATGTTTTCTATAACTTGTGAACTTGAAAGAAGTTGCAAAATGGGATCAAATTGTAACATCACTGAAACCAGTGCTTGAAATGGACCAATCTCCAAGCAAATACTTGAAAATATTGCAAAGCTCAAAAAAAGAAACCATATTGCCAATTTGCCGTCAGTCTTAAACTGGATTGAAAATGTCGGCAGCTAAGGCCTAGCTTCAAATTGACATCACTGCCTAAGATGAATTGCGAGAAATCCTGCAGATGACTTAAGAATTGCCAGAAATTATGTAGATGACATCAAGTTGACCTCCATTTTTCCACACTGAATCCAAAAGCTGAAAAAATGTCATGAATTCTAAAGCTGACATCAAGTTGCTACAATCTGAAAGCTGACAAGTGGCAATGATCTCATGGAGTAAATAGCAGCTCATATATAACATGGAATTGGCATCACTTTAAAAGTTACAGACCATGCCACTGTCATCAATCACAGGAAAGACTTGAGCCGACATCAAGATGCCATAGATCCCAAAGCTGACAGAATATCAACAGTTTATATCCAAGATAAAATTTGCATTGCTTCAAAAGCTGACTAATTATTCTACAAATCCTGCAATTGACATCAAATTGTCACAATCTCGAAGTTGACGTTGATTTTCTGAAACTGCCAAACTAACACAAAGTTGCCAAATTTTCAGTACTTCAGCTGACAACAAATTAATTGCTACAGTCTCAAAGAAGACATTGAGTTTCTCTGAATCCCAGACTGACCTGAAGCTGTAATTAGCTGATATACTGTATGAGATTGGGATCACCACAGAAGTTACAAATCCTGCTGCTGTCATCAAATTGCTGCATTTTCAAAGCTGACGAGTGACCATAAATTTCAAAGCTGACGAGTGACCATGAATTTCAAAGCTGACGAGTGACCATAGATTTCAAAGCTGACATGACATCAAGGTGTTTATTCAGACATCACACTGCCATAATCCCAAAGCTATCATAAAGATGTTGAAATATCAAAAATTACACCAAATTGCTTTAATCCTAAAGCTGGCACCGATTTTACACAATCAAGTTGTCATGAATTCCAAAGCTGACATCAAGTAAATTCCAATATACCAAAGGTGACTTGATGGTAATTGCCACAATCCCATAGCAGACATCAAGTTAATTGCTGCATTGTTGAAACTCTGGCATCAGGGTAATTGACATAATGTCAAAGATGACTTAAAAGTTATTGCCACAATCCCAAAGCTAACATGTACGGTATGTCAAATGGCCACAATCTCTAAAGCGATTTAGGAAAGAAAAAAGAACTTGACTGAAAACATTTAGCTGCATTCTCAATGCTATTATCAAATTAATAGCCACACAACAATTGTGACATCATGGTATCTCTATTAATAGTCCTCATCATACAGCAGACAGTTATAGTCTTTATCATAGAGCAGACAGTTATAATCTTTATCATACAGCAGACAGTTATAGTCTTTATCATACAGCAGACAGTTATAGTCAATACATCAGACAGTTATAGTCAATACATCAGACAGTTATAATCGTTATCATACAGCAGACATTTATAGTCAATACAGCAGGCAGTAATAGTCTTTATCATAGAGCAGACAGTTATAGTTTTTATCATACAGCAGGCAGTTATAGTCAATACAGCAGGCAGTAATAGTCTTTATAATAGAGCAGACAGTTAAAGTCTTTATCATACAGCAGACAGTTATAGTCAATACAGCAGACAGTTATAGTCTTTATCATAGAGCAGACAGTTATAGTCTTTATCATACAGCAGACAGTTATAGTCAATACAGCAGACAGTAATAGTCTTTATCATACAGCAGACAGTTATAGGCTTTATCATACAGCAGACAGTTATAGTCTTTATCATACAGCAGACACTTAATAGTCTTTATCATACAGCAGACAGTTATAGTCTTTATCATACAGCAGACAGTTCTCTATCATACAGCAGACAGTTAAAGTCTTTATCATACAGCAGACAGTTTATATTCTTTATCATACAGCAGACAACTTTCAGTTTGTTTCCACAATTCAAAATCTGACTTACAATTGTAATGGTCTCAATGGGAAATGTTACATCAAGTATATTGCTGCATTTTCAAAATTGACATTATATTATAATTCTTATATTACATCACTTCAATTGCCACAATCCCAAAGATGATGTCAAATTAAGAGCTAAAATCCCATAGTGGACATCAGTTGTAATCAGTCCCAATGCTGAAGTCTTTTAGCTGACATCAAGTGAATGGCCATAACCAGAAAGCTGATATCAAAGTTATTTCAAAGGCAACAATCGCAAAGCTTACATTATGTTGCCATGAAACAAAAAGCTGACATCTATTGACAAAGTTCCCAGCGCAGACATCAACTTACAAGAATCCTAAATCTGACATCAATTAAATGGTCCAAATCCTAAAGTTAACATTAAGCTGCCATAAATTCAGGAGCTAAAATCAGTTTGTCAGGAATTCTTAAGCTAATAAAGTAAACTGACACAAATCTTAATTTGAAATATTGACATGAATTTCCATGCTGACATCCAATTAATAGCCAAAATTTCAAAGGTGATATCTGTAAATTTCCAAAATTCAAAAGCAAATCTATATACCAAGTTGCCATGATTGCATAGCTGAAATAACACTGCACATTTTGCATTGAACCCCAAAGTGAACATCATTAAGTTGACACATTTACAAAGTTGAAAGCAACCTATATTCAGTTACCCCAAAACTAACAGTTATTGCTACTATCTTCAAAGTGCATGTGACATCAAGTTGCTAATGGCTGCAATCTGAGCAAACCTAGTGATTTATCTCCATCCCAAGACTGGCATTGACTTGCCTTGAATTCCAAGACTCCCATTGACTTGCCTTGAATTCCAAGACAGACATCAAGTTACCTTGAATTCCAAGACAGAAATCATGTTGCCTTGAATTCAAAGACAGACATCACGTTGCCTTGAATCCAAGACTGACATAGAATTGCCTTGAATTCCAAGACTGACATCAAGTTGCCTTGAATTCCTATCCTAAGACTAACATTGATTTGCCTTGAATTCCAAGACAGACATGAAGTGTCCTTGAATTTGAAGACTGACATCAAGTTGCCTAGAATCCAAGACTGACATCAAGTTGCCTTGAATAAAAGACTGACATTGAGTTGCCTTGAATTCCAAGACTGACATCGAGTCGGCTTGAATTCAAAGACTGGCATTGAGTTGGCTTCAATTCCAAGACTGACATTAATTGGCTTGAATTCAAAGACTGGCATCGAGTTGCCTTGAATTCCAAGACTGACATCCAGTTG